TCGAAAACAAATCCTACCTCTCCTCTGTAAGTCCTCCTTTCAAGTCTTTGAAAAGTGCTATCATATCACCCCTCTGTCTTCTTTTCTCGAGGTTAAACACACAATTATTTAGATCTTTTTCTAATAGGGCTCTGTTTCCAGCCCCCCCCCCCGATCATCCTTTTCGCCCTCCTCTGAACTTGTTCCAATTTGTCAGCATCCTTCTTGGAATGTGGTGTCCAGAACGGGACGCAATACTCAAGGTGAGGCCTAACCAGTGCTGAATAGAGGGGGACCAGCACCTCACAGGATTTGGAAACTATATTTCCGTTAATGCAGCCTAAAATAGCATTTGCCTCTTTTTTTTTATAACCACATCACACTGTTGGCTCATATTTAGCTTGTGATCTACAATGCCTCCAAGATCCTTCTCCCTCGTAGTTTTGCTGAGCCATCTTGTAACTGCAATTGGTTTCTTTTTCCGAGGTGCAGTACTTTGCAGTTATCTCTGTTGAATTTCATTCTGTTGCTTATGACCCAATAGTCCAGCCTCTCAAGTTTATTGTGAATCTTGTTTCTGTCTTCCAGGGTATTAGCTATTCCACCCACTTTTGTGTCATCTGCAGATCTGACAAGCACTCCCTGCACTCCCTAATCAAAGTCATTAATAAAAATGGTCGGCCCATTCCTTCAGTCCTCTTGGATGCAATTCATCCGGTGCTGGAGATCTGCCCTCATTCAAGGTGGTAAGGTATTTCTCGACTTTTTGTTTATCTGTCTCCAGCTGCAATCGTGTCTTCCCCAGTTGCACTTCCCATTTGTTTGGAAGTTCATCGTCTGTCTTATAGGAAAAGACGGAACTGAAACAGGAATGGAGCCCCTCTGCCTTTTCTTTGTCCTCTGTTACCATTTTCCCATCTCCCTTGCGGAGCGGTGCCACCGTGTCTTTTGTTGGTCTTTTGAGACTCACATACCTGAAGAAGGCTCTTTTTAGAATTGCTTTTAGTGTCTCTAGCTAATCTCAGCTCCTTCTCAGCTTTTGCTCTCCTAAATGCCATCCCTACATTTCCTTGCTCCAGGACTTGCCACTCTTCCTTGGTGGCCTGGCCTTCTTTCCACTTCCTACACATGTCTCGTTTTTTTTGTTTTGTTTTCAGGTACTCCCTGAGCTTTTTTGTGAAGCCACACTGGCCTTTTTTGCTGCCTTCCAACCCTTTTTCTTGTTGGAATTGTTTGTAGTTGTGCTTTTAGAACTTCTTTCTCATTCTGAGATTATTAAAATTGGCTTTTAAAAAATGCAGCATATGTCCGTGGCTACAATCTGCTTTGGTTTCCTTTGAAATAAAGAATTATAGTAGAACACGGTCCCTCTTGTCCAGAGTTCCCCTTACTGCCACTTCCTCCACCAAGTCTTCTCTTCTGGTTAGAATCAAGTCCAGACCTCTTTACAAACATCATCCTGGACGACCTTAACCGGTGCAGGTCCCAGGCACAAAGAGCACTGGAGAAATGCAGAAGCTGCTTTGGCCTCGCTCTCCCCACTTCCCTGGCAGGGCAGGGCAGACCTTTAGGGAAAGGATGGGTGAACCCCAAATGCGAGGTAGGAAGCAGTTGCTTCTCTTTCCCCCAAAACTCATTAATTATACAATTACCAAAGGCCCTCGGCTCGTGTTCAGAGGCACCTCCACTTTTTGTCTCTCTACAGATTTGTCTCTCTAAGGAGATGCCCATGGCCTCCAGTGTAAGGTGGTGTCGCTGGAGAAGAAGACCAAGATCCTAGAAGGCTTTCACGGCTGGGATCCGAGTCGGGAGACAGAGTTTTGACTCCTGTCCTCTGAAGATGCCCATGGCCACAGTGACGGGTGAAACATTAGGGAGAAAAACCTTAAGAACACGGCCAAACAGCCTGAAAAAAACACAACAACCAAGACCAAGATCATTCAGGCGATTGTATTCGCAATCACCACATAAGGATTTGTGTGTGTGTGTGTGGGGGGGGGAGAATGATTCCTTTGAAATAAGGTGCTGGAGGAGAGCTTTGCACATTCCCTGGGCTGCCAGAAAAACGAACAAGTGGGTCCGAGATCAAATCAAGCCTGAACTCTCTCTGGAGGTGAAAATATTGACACTGAGGCTGCCCTACATCATGAGAAGGGAGAGTTTTCTGGGAAAGACCATAATGCTGGGAAAGATGGAAGGCGGCAGGAAAAGGGGAAGGCCCAACAGGAGATGCACCGACTCTCTAAAAGGGAGCCAGGGGCTTGAGTTTCCAAAAGCTCAGGAGGGCAGTCGAGGACAGGACAGTTTGGAGGACCACCCTCATTCATGGGGTCGCCGCAAGTCGGAGGCGACTGGAGAGCACACAACAAGAACCACAAACGGATTCCTGGCCAGGAGGAGCAGCCGGAGGAGGGCAAAGGGCGGCATCTGCTTCCCAGGCGGGCTAACCGGGGTCCTCCGCGAGCTGGAAAGAGGAGCACGTGTGCAAGAGCCCTTCTCACCTGGGACTCCTCCCACCCGGACGCGCATCCCCGCCCGGGTCTGCTCCTTCCCGCGGGCTCCCCGGCTTCCCCTCGCTCTCCACGGCCGGCGCCTGCTAGGCGTGACCTCCCTCCTGGCCTTCTCGCCCTCCCGGCCCCCGGCGTGCGCGCCATGCCCCCTTTCTCCGCTTCTTTTCCCATCATAGGTTCCCTTCTGAGATTTCCCGGAGACTCTCCTTCGCCTCGCTTCGCACTCTCGCCTTGGGAGACCGGGCGCGGCGGGGAAGGCGGGCAGCCCGACTCCGGCCGTCTGTCCCTTGGGCTCGGAATGGAAGCGGATCGAGAGTCAAGGGCCGCAGGCGGGGCCGCCTGAGCGTCGACCTCGTGGCGCAACGGTAGCGCGTCTGACTCCAGATCAGAAGGCTGCGTGTTCGAATCACGTCGAGGTCACTAGAAACCCCGGGCCAGGAGGGGTCCCTTTTGCCGAAGGGGACCTCCCTACCCATCGTGTAGCGTGTCGTTTTCACTCCCACCGACCCACCCACGCTTGAAGGCGACCCGCGGCCAGAAGCTCTGCCGACGGTGTGGGCAGCTTTGCACTTAAGGCGCCGCTCTGCGCTCCGGGAGAGTCCGCGCTCCAGTCCCGACGACGACCCTGCCGGGGCCTGAGGGACTCCTCGCGGCCTTACCGGAGCGCCAGCCGATTTTTGGAAGTTCCTGAGGAGTTCTGCGGGGTGCGGGCTCTCTGCACATGTTCAGAGCCACTCTCATCACTAGGCCGAAAAAGCGCCCCGGCGACTGCACCCCCTCCACCGGACTCCAGGCGCCGGAAAAGGGGGACGGCCGCTCCCTCGCTCCGGCTACTTTTCCTGGTGTCCGTGCCGGCGAAGAGGGGGTGCCGAAGGAGGAAGCCCCCTCCGTGTGGGTGGCCATGGAGTCACGAGCACCCCCCCATCCCCCCCCACCCCGCGCATTCCTTGGCAGGAAGAAAGCCATTAGCGGAGGGGCCGCCGCGTCACGCAGTCGCCCCCTCCGTCCGTGACAAACGCCCCATTGAATCTCCACGTGTGGTCTGAGCCTGCGGGAGGGGGCTGGGGCGCCTCTCTCTCCGCCTGTCTCCCTCGGTTGGCCCCAAAGCACCCCCTCATTAAAATCAGGCAACGGCGCGGAAATAAACTCGACGGCAGGGATGGGGGGGGGAAGAGAGGAGCCAAATGATTCTCCAGGCAGAAGCCCCGCCAGAGGAGGAAGGAGGGAGAGCAGGGATCTGCTTATTTAAATGTGTGCCCCACGAAGGCAAGGGGGGGCGTGGGCATTCCTGCTCCCCTTGGAAGGTCCCCGGCCTCCTCTCCTCGCAACGGAGACTGTGGGCTCCCTCCTCGGGGCAGAGCCTCCAGCCTCCGCTCTAGCCCATTACTGTAATACCGCTCAGTAGGAAAACAGTTTCTTCCCTTAGGTGTCTCGTGTCACGAGATTTCCAAGTGGGGCGCGTCAGGATACCCCCCCCTCTCTCTCTCGCCTGTAGACGCCGCCTTCCCGTCCTCTATCGGAAATCCAAGCCAGATTTTGCCGCCCGCTCTCAGCAGCCTTTTGCACTGAAGGGCTCCAGCCAGCAGAAAAACCGCCACCGCTTGGCGCCGTGGCTTAGTTGGTTAAAGCGCCTGTCTAGTAAACAGGAGATCCTGGGTTCGAATCCCAGCGGTGCCTTCGACTGGATTTGGGAAAAGTTCCCAATTTTATAGCTAGCCCCACGAATTTCTATTTTGAACCCCCTTCTCCATCCACAGCCGCTTCAAGATCGCATTTTGCAAACAAAAGGAAACTGAAAGTGGATAACTCTACGGGAAGAAGAGGCGATGCACCTCCCGCCACAGACAGGGAGCATTGCAGGCGTGGGGGGGGGGCAGCGGTCCTCCTGCAAGGACGCAGAGGAAGCGACAACTTTCTCGGCATCTGCAGGGACCCCGCTTCAGGAGCCGGAAGGAGCGGCTTTCCGCCACCCCATGCATGTCCCCCTCCTCCCCCTCGCCCGCAACCCAGCGGAGCCTTCACGGGAAAGCTTCCACTCTGATCTCCGGAGTTGGCCTAACTTGGAGGGGGCGGATAAGGCATCGGGGTCCCTCCGGGCAGACGCCCCCCCCCCAATTCCTCTTGGAGAAGGCAGCCGCGCAAAGAAGAAGGCATCCGGGGAGGTCGGCGGAGCAAGCACGGCCGATGGCTCGAATTGGGGCCGAAAAGGTTGTAGCGTAAAAGCAGGGGAGGGGTTTTTTCGCGCCTTCCCGTCCATACCCGGCACCCCGAGAGTCCGGGGCAGAATGCCACCCAGGGGCACTCCCGCCGACCCCCTCACAGTTTGCCCCTGTGCTGACCCCTTGCTTGTTTGGCCGAGAAACTGTCAGCCGGGCTTGAGACAGAGATCAGAGGGGCCACCACAGCAAAGCCCCCGCGCCCGCCTGCCCGCCCTCCCGGGCCGGACCACCCAAGACCCCCAGGCGCCTCCCTCCAGCCCCAGCCAGAAGGCAGCGAGACGGGGGACGCGCGAAAGGCTCCAGGTCATTTTATTGCTGGACACGGGGGGGGGGGTTGGGGGGACGCTCCCAGGGAAGCCCCTCACTCGCTCAAAAGCTGTCTGCTGTTCTGTCCCTGGCTGCTGCCGCTCCGGCGGGCGGGGGGGCTAGGTGATGACCAGCTGCTCCGAGGGGGAGAGGCCGCAGCTGACCTTGTGGGCGTCGAAAAGCTGCCGGAGGGCCTGGACGTACTGCTGGTGGAAGTGCTCCACCTCCTCTTCCGTGGGGCTCGGGCGGCGCGGGACTGGGATCGGCTTCCCCACTGAAAGCGGGGGAAGAAAGAAGGGTGAAAGGAAGGCCGAGGAGGGGCTAGGTCTGCCCCCCTCCCCGTAGACCGTCGAAGACCGCCCCCTGTGCTTCAGCTGGACTGATCAGGCCTGACCTCAGGAGCGCTGAGGCAGGCCGGAGGGAGGAGGCCTTTTGTAAAGCCAATGGCTCTTAACAGCCCACTCAAGGCCCAGAAGGAAAACCCACACCACACCGGCTTTGTGGCAACACTCCTCCTCCGGCCCATTCCAACTCACTTCTCAACTCATTGGGGGTGGGGGTGGCCATTAGCCACCTCACAGGTAGCCTGAATTCCACCTCACCCTTTGCGACCTCAGTGGCTGTTGTTCAAGGGGAAGGGAACAGATTTTTTTTGGGGGGGGGGGAGAGAAATGGATCATCCTTACCCACAACAGTGATGGGCACTGCCAGGGGCAGGATCCCCCACCAGCGGCTGCAGAAGAGGTCTCGGCCCCCAAAAAGGCAGGGGGCAAACCCGGTCCATTGCTTGAAGCGGAGCTGAAGCCGACGGAGGCAGCTGTTCTCTGGGAAGCGCACCTGCCAGAAGATGCTGTTCTCCCCAAAAGAGTAAACGGGCACCAGGTCAGCCCTGGAGGGAGGGGAAGGAAAGAGGCAGGGGTGAGACCATGGTCCCGACGCCCTCCCAGGAGGGAGGCACTCCAGAGAAAGCGAGACAGACAGCCGTCAGATAGACTTGGTCGGGATATTCGAAACGGGACCGGATCCGCCCATCCCTCCTGCAGCGGTACCGAGGCCTCGTGAGTGAGCCAGGCAGGCAGGCAGGGCGGTAGAGTCCTGAAGGGGAAGGAAGTCTGGACTGCACCGCTGACTCTGCTTGTGGAGAACAGCACACTTGGATACAACAGCCACCTGCAGGTGGAAAGCTAGCACCCCAGGGGAGATGCCGACTGCAGTGCCTTTTCTGTGCAGAGCAGTTTGACGCACGTTTGTCTTCTGTGGGAACATACAAGAAAGGTGCTTACCTGACCTTCCCAAAATGATCACTCTCTCTCTCTCTCTCTCTCTCTCTCTCTCTCTCTCACACACACACACACACACACACACACCCACACACACCCACACACACACACACACACACACACACACCACACACACACACCCCGCAGTCCCTACTTTACCCATGCTGCAGCGCCAAGCGCACGAAGCCTCGCCTCCCCTGAAGATGGACGCGCTGCTCCCCGGGGGTGCAGTCCAGTGATTCAGATGCTCCACCCACAACGATGACCACGGCATGGCCAGGGCCCCCTCGGAGCACAAAGTCCAGGGACCGCTTGCTGACAGGGATCATCCCTGGGAAAGCAAAAAGAAAAAGAAAACCCACATCTTTGGGTCTGTGGCTTGCAGGGGGTGTGTCTGTCTGTCTGTCCGTGTGGTCAGCCTTTCCAACTGGTTGTTTCAACTTATAAAACTCCCCATACTGCACTGCATTGCTCAGAGTGTGCAGACAGCGATGGGGTGGGGTCTGGCTCTTCCTTTTTCGGCTTGTTTTGTAACCTGCGCAAACCTCCCAGGTCTACTGGGGATGGGCTTTGAACGGAAGGGGGTCTTTTCTGTAGGCGCCGCCACTACCCCACACCTCCCATTGTGTTTTAAACAGTGCTCGTTAGGGGAAGATAAACCCACTGAGAAGGCCTGGAAGTCGACATGAAGGCCTTCTGCCCCTGTTTCGCAGTGTCCTCCAAAGTCCTTCCTCTGCAAGACCGTAGGTGGTCTGGCACCCAGGAGCCCCCTCTCTGCCCTCTGATGTCGTTCCCCCCCCTTCCCCAATAGAGGCTCACAAAGCAAGCAAGGAAGAAGACCTACCTGAGCTCATCATGTACTCCCGATAGACAGGGAGGTGGAAGAGGCCAGCAAGTAACGCCAGATGGGCCTTAAGGCCGGGGAAGGTGCGGGAGAAGCTGGTGGCCTCAGTGCAGAAGGTGGAGAAGGCCCCGGCGCAGATGATGCCGTGGGGGTGGGAGCCCAGAACATAGTTCCTGGTCGGGGGCAGCTCAGCCGTCTTCACCAGCTGCAGGGGGATTGAAAATGTGGGCCCCATCTGGAGAAGGCATCCGAAAAGGAGGGTCCCCTCCCACTGTGGCTTACAGGCCAAGGCCCCTGGAAGGCTGTGCCCCCCCGCCACCCACACCCACCCACACACGCACGCACGCACGCACGCACACACCAGGCCTCCCGCCCCACTGCTGTTTGCACTCCCAAGAACTGACCATGGGCTCCCCTCCTTCTCCGAGCTGGGCCTGCTTTAGTGGAGGAGCCTCAAGCAGTAGGAAACGGTTGCCTTCCTGTAGAAAGAGGAGGCACTTCCCCTGACTCACATACACACCCCCACTGCCCACCCCCATTCTCCCATCTCACAATACCTTGATGGGGAAGTAGTCCCGGTGGAGGCGCCAGATCCTCCAGCGCCTCATCCAGTCACTTCGGCGGCCACCTGTAAAGGGGCAAAGGTCACCAGAGGTGGACCCTGATAGGCCGAGACCCTCACATGGCAGGCTGTTTCAAAATCTTGGGGGGGGGACACCTCCTGGTGAAGGTTCAGGATATTAGCCACAACCCCTCCCTGCCCTGCCTTACTTGCTTTGCTTACCTAAAAAGCACCAACATTATCTTCCCTGTGGGGAAGCACCACCTTCTCCTTCTCTGATGCCCCGCCTCCCTTTTCATGGGAGGAGGGGCTTACACCCTGCCTCACAGGTAGAGCGGAAAAGCCTGTGCCCCTTGACCAGGGGGGCCAAAATGGCCAGTTAGGGCTGTGAAAAGGTTCAGGGGATCCGTTGCAAAGTCTTCCCGTCCAAAGTTTTAGTGAGAGGGTGACATCTTCTCTTGCAAACCAATGCAGGTGAAAAGTCTTTGCCCTCATGCAAGGAAAACCGCAGGCTTCAAAAGGTAGGCTGGGCCTTCGGCAAAGCCTCCTCCTTTGCCCTTTGGCTTTACGTGCACCTGCCGGGTGGCCAGGCGGGCAGCAATCTCTCCCGCTCCATCTCCCTTGGTGGAGTGACGCCCTCCTCCCGACAGAAAGGCCACAGGGCTGCTCTGGGGTAAGTGGTGGTGGGCAGGGTTCTCCGGTCCCTCCGGTTCCTCCTCTGTCTCACCCGCTCTCCTTCACCCTTCCCTTCCTTCACCTCAAGAGAACACGAGTGCTTGAGCGGGAGGGGAAGCAGGTTTGGCACTGAGCTGACCCAACGTTGTCGCTGTCCATGCTGCCAGGTGGTCCTGGGGCGGCTGGGGTGGGGGTGGGCTGTCCCTTCCTGTTGTCTTTCAGAAAAGGGAGGAAAAGCAGAGGGAGCCCAGCGCACAGCACCGCATATTGTGGGATACACGTCGCTGGCCCAAAGTGCTGCTGTAAGATGTCCACGGAGGGTCAGCCTGCCAAGCTGGATCGGGGGCTCAGTATCTCCTCCCCCCTGAAAGACTGTCTCTTCTGTAGGGGCAGGGGGGGGGGGAAGACAGGAAAACCTGGCATTCACCTTGCTCTGGAGTATCCCGGTCAGCAATCCGCCACATGCAGTAGAGGACCGTAATGAACCAGTAGGAGGTGAAGAGCAGGTAGGTGAGGAGAGATGTGAAGAAAAGACCTGGGGGGGGGAGGGAGAGAGAGAAAGATTGCAGACAAGAGACACGGCAATGCCCGGGGTTGCTTTCCCCTCCCGCAAGTGGAGCCGGCTGGAGTGCCCTCCCCTCACCCCGCCACGGGGCATATCCTCAGAAGCAGAAGCAAGCAGAGGGACATCGACACCCCGCATGACATTTGGGGGGAACGTGATCTCCAGCCAGCCTTATCCTGCCTGCCTGCCTGTTTCTAGCTTTATCTGCTTTCTCCGGGAGCTTCTTTCCAATTTCCTGGCAACCAAAGTATCAGCGAATCAGCTTACACCCTCCTCCACCTGCTCCCTAGTCCTGCAGAAATGAAAAGATCCGATCCTCCCCCCCCTGCCCCCGCCATGAGGTCCCCCACATACCAAAGAAGAGGAAGGTTAGCACCCACTGAAAGACACTCAGGGCCTCAAGGTGTTTGCGCAAGGCCATCATCCTTCTGAGGAAGAGGAGGAGGAGAAGGAAAGGGCATCAACACCTTTGTGGCCAGCCCAGAAACGGACACCAAGAAAGGAAGGAGAAGCAGGTGACCTGGAGAAGAAAATGCACAAAAATGTATAAATGCCATGCCACGCCACACAACCTCCTTCCCACCCAGGAGGGAGCAGTGTGGAGTTGCAGCTCGGTCTAGGGAGAGGCAGCCCTTGGCAAAATGGGGGGAGGGGCTGCAAGTAGAGGCATGGGGTTCTGGGCAGTTGAGGAAGTCAGCAGCCCCCTCCCTCTGAATTAGAAGATCAGCATTCCTCTCCTTGCCCCCCCCCCCACAATTCCCATTTCCACCTGCCCAATCCCCAACCAGAAGGCCAGGATGGACCCAGTGAAGAGGCTGGAGAGGGGGGCTCACGAGCAGCAGCGGAAGGGGAGGGTCTCCTGCAGCCTCCCGCATTCAGGCAGCCACCCACAGCTGCCCCAAGACACACGTCACCCCTCTGGCTGCCTGGCCACTCTGGCTGCCCTTTGGCCCCTTGTCCACCGGCAGAGTCAGGAGAGCAGGTACTGTGGTGATAAGGAGAAAGGCAGCGGGCCAAGACTTGTCCGGGCACCCCACTCGTCTGGGTCCTTCCTAGAGGAAGGCAGTGGGTGGCCGGATGCTGCTCCCTTCACCCTTCAGCAAGCCAAGGTGTTTTATGGAGGCTCTCCTTATCTTCTGTGGCTGAGAGCTTAGGGCAAGGTCCACAGTCCTCTTTTCTAGGGCCTTTCCTCCCACCAGCCCAACGAGGGGGGGGTGCAGCTCAAAGTGTACGGCTAGCACAAGAGCGCCCGAGTGCAGCCCGGCAAGAGGAACTGGGCACGGCCGTCTCCTTCACCCCCGCCCACCGGTGGTCCTCCAATGCCACAGCCGGTGTGTGGCCAGCTGTTGGCTCCTCAGAGCAGATGCTTCAAGGCAGGACTCCTGGGCTCTCTGAGAAAGCAGAAAGACACACACACACACCCGATTTCAGGGGGGTGGGGGGGCAGGCTTTCTGCTTGCTCTCCACTGGCACATTTGCTCCATCAACAGAATGGGGCCAAAATCAAAGTCTGCATGGGCCTGGAGGCTGGGAGAGCTGACTCGGAAGGGGCAGGCACTTACTCCACGCTTAGAGGGGCTTCGCGCCGGCACTACTGCCTTCGCACAGTTTTCGTGATGCCGGCAGAGCCTTCAGCTTTGTCACCTCCAGGGCAGACCTTGAAAGGCTGAGGCTTGGCCTTCAGCGCCTTGCCGGCCTTCGCTTCGCACAGTTTGCTTTGTCACCTCCAGGGCAGACCTTGAAAGGCTGAGGCTTGGCCTTCAGTCAAGATGGAGGTCAGTGGGCCCAGCCAGGCCTGCCCCTCCCAAGCAGGCTGGTGGGAGGGAGAAGGCACCACCTCCGGCCACAGCTGAGCCCCCAAACGTGGCTGGGTGGGTGGGGGTGTCTGTCTATCCCCTCTGGCCTCCTACTCAAGACGGCCCCCCCTCCTCCTCCACTTGGCCCTGACCTCTCTAGGCTGAACTTCAAGGGGAAGCCGGCTTGGGCCAAAAGGCCAGCCAGAGGCCCTGGGGGGGGGCACAGCCAGCAGAGCAGCTGAACCCCCCCTCCCTCCTCCCCTTCCTCAGCCTGCCTGATGAGAGTGTTGCCGATAGGGGGCTGCTGAAAACCTCACTGCCCCACAGGCCTCTCCACGTTGGCCACCACCATTCCTTCCCGTGGCAAGGAGCCAAGCACTCATGCCCTTGACAGCCAAGTTTTACACACATGCACCCCTCAGTTATCACATGCGGGAGGGGGGGGGCGTGGAGAAGCATAAGATAACGCCAGGGGGGACCAAAACCAGGTGGGGCCAGCGCCGCCACCTCCACCCCCATGAGCTTGACTCTTGCCGTCGCCCCCCCCACCCAGTGTCAGCACAGAGGAAGAGGGGCTGGCTTCTTCTCTGGGCTCCAGAAGGGGCCCCTCCAGACCATTGGCCCGGGTGGGCTCGCCCTCTTCCGTACCCCTTCCCCTCCCTCTATGGCAGTGGGTTCGCAATAGAAAATATGGGGAGGGGGCTGTGAGTGTATGTGTCTGTGTGTGTGTGTGTGTGGGGGGGTGTCTCCTATAGCTCTAGGCCCTTGCCTTCCAGCCCCCACCCCACCCACTTCAGGGGGCTGTTCTGATCCTGTCATGGACGTATCCAGCCCCGCCCAGGTCTGGGGCCTTGTGAGGGCCGGCCTTGGGCTTATGCCAGCCTTCAACGCAGCCCCCCCCCCGTCCAAGGGGAGGGCCACTCCCCCTCCCTCTCCACAGGGAGCCCTCGAGGTGGTTACCTCTGCTGGTGGTGCTGGTGGCCTCTGGCCGGGCTCCCCCCCCCACCTCCCCAAGGCCAGGAAAGAACTGGGCCTCAAGGGATATAGCGGCTGCCCCTGTCCCCCCCCTCACACACACACACTTCCTGGTGGGAGGGTGGCATCCAGGCCTCAGGCCAGGCAGCCCATCCCACCCCCCCATGGGCATTCTTGGGCAACCGGTTTGGGGGGTGTCCATTTTTGCCCCTGTGCCTGTGATCTTGGTGACCTTTGGCATCAAGGCAAAGG